TTTGAAGAAATGATCAAAGAATACACAGCTCCCCCAAAACATAGGGGCATAAGATACTATAAAGTTGTGTTATACAATGATTAAAAATGCAATGAGCTTTTTATAAATTTAACAATTTTGTGGTACTTGTCCACTTTTAAAATTATTTGGTACTGTAATTTTTTTCTCATTCTAAATATTCACTTTTGAGAATAATTTTATATTTCTAATTTTGCAAATTTAAGAAATCTAATTAGGCTTCAATATTTTAAAAAAATGATAGGTTTCCCAACATCTGGATGCATCCCTCCTGATTGGCACCCAAAAGCTTCTAATAGTAAGTGTACCCAATGCTGAGACTTAGTGTGCTATCAGTTTATTGTCTAGAGAGAATGGGCTTTTCTATCGTATATAAGATATCTGTTGACTGTCCCTCCTTCTTTTAGGTTCTGTAAAAATTAACAAAATTTTAGTTTCCTTTCTTTCTTCTCTAGCCTTCACGTTGTTTCATATTCTTCTCTAATTCTTCAGTCATAAATTTTAGATGTTTAACATCTTAAATTTCTATTTGACATGTCAGTACATAGCTGTGCATACTATTGAATATTAGAACTCTGGGATGAGGTTTGGGCATAACCTATGCACTGAAGGTTGCCAGGATAAAAATGTTGATGTCTCTGGCATGTCAGAGTGGACAAGATCTATTACAATGGTGAGAGCAAGGGGTCATCTATCAGGACAGGGCTACAATGGATATTTGCAGTGCTGTGTTAGTTTATTAGTAGAAAATAAAATCATCACCTAAGAGTAACAGTGAGAAGTATATATTAATTTTTATAAAATGAAAGTAAGTTTAACATAGGTGTTGGTACATTAGGGAAGAGGATGGACTTTTAAAATATAGCATGACTATGAGACAGAATTAAAGGCTTTTTGAAGTTTAGCCTAGAGTTCAAAACATAATGTGTCTTTTTCCAATTACATTCAGCTCTAGTGACATGTTAGAAAGTTAGATCTCAGGTAAGCAGGAAAACAAAAGCAGTGTCATAGTGCTGGCCTCTGTAGAAATGTGTGTGGTGACTGACCATGGGCCTTTACGTAATCGTCTGCTCAAGTCCCTCTCCTCTTCCCCACACTTCTCCAGCTTTGTTTTGAACATATCATCTCTGACCAGTATCTTTGCAGCAGCCCCTGGTATGCCCCTCTATGACCCCTCCAGTCACATCTCACATTGGACCTAGCAGACCTTTTTTAAAAAGGCAATCTCTGTCACTCCTCATGCTTGAAATACTTCAGTGGATCTCTTTATTTCTTCAGATAAGGTTCATATTCCTTATTATTTTCTTCTAACAGTGTTCCCCCACACAAACATTAACACAAACCTTATACCTAAGCAATCTATAGCCAAGATGAACATTTTATTTTTGTTTAAATGCACACTTCTTTGTACACCTTGGCAAGTTTACACATGGCATCCTATGCCCAGAAAGCTTTTTTTCTCTTTCCCACTCACTAAACTCCATCCCCAACCCAAACACACCTTCATCTGTTGTATCCTTCAATCATTTAGATTTTAAGTTTATTTAAGGCCTGCTCCACAATGCCTTTCCTAAATTCCTTTACTGCTAGGCTTTTTGTTAGCTTAAGCTCCCCATACAGATGTATTGAATCTCTAATACCTAGCGGAGTGTTTGGCACCTGGAGAATATTTAATAAACATTTATAATATGAATCAATAAAGAAAAATCATTCACAAATTAATTAATGAATCTTTACAATAAGCTATGCATGCTTAATTAGCCTCATTGAAAATATGAAGAAAGTAAAGTTTACACTAATACATTTACAAAGGATATTGTCATATCTTTTTATAAAAGGATTATCTCTTATCAGTACCAGGCCAAGTTTCTTATTCTCATCTTTCAATCTATGAATGCTTGTAGTGTGAAACAGAAAGGGGCAATATAGTATAATGTGTAAAAGCACATATTTTTTAGCTGGATTGCAAGATTTAAATCCTTAGCTCTGACATTTACTAGTTATATTTTCTTGAGCTATTTACTTAAACTTTTTGCCTCAGTATTCATATATGCAAAATAGGAATAATAACTTCCTCATAACAGTGTTGTAATGGTTAAATAGATTATTACATAAGGCTTAGACCAATAACTGATATATATATATATATATATATATATATGAGCTGTATTTACTGTATAATGATTATTTCTTCATTTTTGTTATTATAGAGGGTTTTCCCAATTAGTAGTTCCAGGTGAGATATTCTATGATCCAGATTACCTAATTGTGCTTTTAAATTTGCTTTATTTAAAGCATCCTTCTCTGGAGAAAGAAGTCTACAACTCACACAACTTGAAGGAAACTTCTACTTCACAGTGGTAGTTGGCTGGTTATTAGAAGCTCCATTTGAGATTTGCCACCCAAACCCAAATATCTGAGACTAGATTTATCAGATTAAAGATCCTCTGGGAACTGATATGCATGTGGGAAAACAGTTCATCTAGCACTGTGTTTTATATCTACTCCTCTGTTTTCATGCTATATAAAATACTCTTTTCGGAAAGAAAATCTTCAATGCATAATTCTGTATGTCAACTGTAAATCCATAAAGCATAGAATAATAGTGTTTTATTAAATAATAGTAGAAACATTTCTTATTTACATATAAGTGAGAGTAGACTGATGTCTTATTCAATGTCAAAAATATTTATCTCCAGCACTCATTAACCTATGTAAATACTTTCTAAAGCAATTAATAAGCTTAAGGCAAATTTTATATAGGAAAATGAAATGAGAACTACTCTGATTTTAATTTCAGTGGAATGCATATATTTAGGCACTTCCAGATACTCATGATCGTAATATATACTGGTATGGATTTTTCTGAAGGCAATCTAGATATATAAACATTATCAGTATATTAAAATATTTTCCACCCCAAAATTCCTAACCTTGGAATTTATATTAAAGGAAATTACTTGAAGGTTATATAATAATAGTCTGTGGGCAAAGTTCAATTCTTTACTTCTATTTTTTGTTCTCTTATATTTACTGAAACTCACTGTCACCCTAATAAAAAGTAAGGTCAATGACAGTACACATTTTGTCTGCCTTTTCTTTCCAGCCATAACAAATGTCTAGCAGATTACCTGATATATAGTAATAATCAAGGTTTACCTATTAAATATAAAAAATGATTGTTTAGATATGTCTGATAGAGTGAGGAAGTATCTAAACTACTAAATAAATATGGGCAAATAATTGGACAGATAACAACTTCTAGAAAAGAAACCACAGTACTTTTAGAAGAATATTATTCTAGATTTTAAATTAAAAATACTTTTTACATAAAATCAGATTATAAGCCATATAATCTTAATTTTGCAAAAAATAAAAAAATAAGTGTTTATAGGAAGCAGAAATCATTCCTATTGTCTCCTTTAAAATTGTCCTTATTTAAAGTACTGTGTCTTTACATGTTTTAAAATGTAAATGTTTTAAATGTTTCAAACCTTTTTTTTTAAGTAGAAGTTTACAAAGATCACACTAGTTACTTAGTGTTTGAAAATAAATTTAAATAAGAATATAGAAATACATATTAGACATGAAAGTTATATTATTGTATGAAAAGTTATATTTAAGTATGATAAGGGGATGGATAAAAATCACTGATTTGTTAGGGTAGTTTCTGGGTTTCTCTCTCTCTCTATTTTTCCTCTCTCCAGGGTTCTCTTTTTCCCTCCATTCCTTCCTCCCTCCCTTCTGTCTTTCTTTATTCTTTCTTTCTAATTACACTAGTGTTTCTTTTTTTTTCTTGCTAACAATTCAATTAGAAAGCTATTTTATTAGCCATTTTGGAATTATTTCAGATAACTGGAGTTCAATGAGGTCTCTTTTTTCGTCAGATACTTGTACATCTTTTAGAAGTTTCCAGAGCTTTTTTACTAACAATAAATTCAAGTATGGCAAAATTGTTCTTCCACCATTAGTCCCACACTACAGCTAAATCCATGCACAGTGATGAGCAAGCAATAACCTATATTTTTATTTAGCTCTGTGTTAGTGCAAATGTCAAATTTAATCTAGAGTTTTTTCTACAGGGAAAAATTATGAACACTTTTGAGGTAATCATTTTTCTTTGTCTCTGCCTTCAGACACATTTGATACATTTAATTATGTTTCAAATGTTCCAGCGTTTTCTACTTTACTGAATCTTTGACTGGAAGGGAAAGAATTGACATAAAATACAAGGAACTTAGTTCTCCTTGATTACACAAATGAGATCAACTCTAACAAGGAATAATAATCGATCTCTAGTACTTCCAAGCCCACAGACCCTAGAGTACAAATTGAATATAGATTATTATTAAGGTCCTATAAAATATTACCATTTTTAATTAATAAAAATGACTAGAGAAACCATTTGGAATTTTAAAGAATTCTTGATGATTATCTATCTCAACAATTTTATGTATAGCACAGACATATAATTTATTAAACATTGTATATTGTTTTGCATACTCAGAATGATAACCTAACCGAGAATTAAAAAGAAAAACCAACCTTTCTTTAAATATACTTTTATATTTTCTATATTTTCTAAACCAAGTTTTATCCAAATCTTTTTACCCTGTACTTTATTCAGCAGAAAACTATGATAATAATTAAGGTTTAAATTCAGCAATTTCAAATTTAACTTTCTCCTTCTTCCTCAGTGGATTTCTATCACATGGCCCTTTATTCCTTCCCCAGACTGAAGGACTACAGAATCTGCTTAACAATTATGTGAGCCACTGTAAGGGTACCAACACATTTCTCTGCCATATATATGTATATATAAAACCTTTTATCTGTATTTATCTTGTATTTTCTCTTATATTCATTCATCATTTCTTCTCAAGAGTTACTTATGACCCTAGAGCCATGAACAGTTACTTACGACCTCAGAACTGTTTGCTAAGGAAAAAACCATTACAATATTTACTTCTTATTAGTCATACCTTGAGAATCTTGCACATAATCTCATAAACTGAAAATGTTCTCTCTGCTCGAGTCCAATCCCACGTTGTCACCTTTAAAAGATGAGAAACTAATATGTTATTTGTTTTATCTAAGATAGCTCTTATTCCACTTTCATGTGATTTATATACTATGGTGCATAAGGGAACCCATCACATGTACTATATAGTCTCTCAGTTGTGAAGCTACACTCATAAAAGTCCATGCAGAGTTTTGTGGTTTCCCCTCTTCGAAGTTTTATCATCATTTCTCTTCCTCTTTCAGCAAATGTTGTGGTCTGCCCTGCCTAGTCTCAGGAAGCTACAACCCCCTGTGGCTAAGGCTGAGTGAGAGACCTCCAGACCAGGAGCTACTAAGGAGACAAACTTATTTCCCTGGCAGGAGCACTGCTTCTGCTCCTTGCCTGGCCCCCAATACTTTATCAGTTAGCCAATGATGGATAAGATTCCCCAAGGGGGAAATCATCTGAGACAGGCATGATCACGTGGAGACCCCAGGGAAGAGACTCAGGGGGCTGTGGAAATGAAGGGGTGATGGACATCGACCCCTGCCCCCTCAGCTTTGACAAAGCCTGAGTCTTTGTTCTGGCTGTGAGAAATCCAAGTCTCCTGGCTGCCTTTGTCTCCTCTGCCTGACTCAGGCCTGCAGAAATAACAGGGGTGGTACAGTCTAGCCAGAGTCGGCAGACCCCGGGGGTAATTAGACCTGGGGCATAGGATATGCAAGATCCTGTGAGACCTGCTTGCTGGAGGATGCTCTTGAATTAAAATATGAAGGCATGGGCAGGAAATGAAACTAACCTTTTAGGTCCTGTAGCCTTTTAAGTGATAAACCCCCCAAATCTCAGCCCAAAATCTCAGTGTGAGCTCTGTCAGCCCTTTGAAAGACATCTATTCTTTTTGATCTTCCCTGCCAGACTGTAATCAACAAACTGTATCTGTATTCTTAATAAAAGCCTACTCAGGCAGCGACTCAGGGTGCTCTCCACTAGAGAAAGTGGCCATGCCATTCCTATTCCTCCATAGGACTCGTTAGTCTGAGTGTATATTTTCTCATATCATGAGCAGCTACAGCATTCACAGTCACTGCTGGCTAGTGGCTGCCTCAAGCAAATATCTCATATTATATGCAACAAGCTCCATTTGCCCAACATCTTTATATATTTTAAATAATGTGTATATTCTTTATATATAAATATTATATGTTTAACACCAGTAACTTCCAAATAAAAATATTAGACAGTACTACCTTTAATTTTTAAAAATGACGTAATATATGTTAGAAGTCATTTTAAGATGTAGATATTTTAGAAAATTATGACGATATCAAACACTACAATGAAGTTGTTTCACTTACTGAAGTTTGAGCCATATATCTATCCAGGCATAAGAAATTATTCAGAGTAGTAATGTGTAAAACTATAAATATTAATAGCTTTTTACCTGCCTACCTGATGTTTAGAAATTTGTATAGACATTCAAAATAGCAGCAAGTCAGACATAAGTCCAAGATCTAATCCATTTTTAGACCTGTAAGTGAGTGGTGTGGCATTTTATATTTATTTTCAATAAATATTTATCAAAAATCTACTATTGTGTAAGGTATATCTTTCAAAAAGCAATACATTAAATTCAATAGATACCTATATATATTTAGTACAAAGCCCAATGACTTGCATATAGAATATCAAAAATACTATTGCTTTGGTGTATAGACAAACCTGGGCCATATCAACATATTTGGACTGTCATAAATGCCTAAGTAGAAGATTTCTAGATTTTTCAAGGGTTATGAAATAGTGTTTAATGCCAGAACTTACATAATTAGTGAAATACTGGCTCTGGCACAAATAACACCTCTTTTTATCACAAAATCTTTTATTACAAAATCATAAGCATGTAATTCTGTAATATAATGTCACACTAAAGCATATCACATGACATTTTAGATGAAATGTTCAAATTAAAACTATAAATTATTATTTTCATATTATTACCCTACAAACCACACTCAAGCAGACATTACTTCTGCCAGACACTAAATATTCTAAAGTATTTGGACTGTTTTCTATTTTTCTGTATCTTTCTTTTTTTCTGTATCTTATTTTAAAAATATATTAGTAACATGCAATTTGCTGTTATTAAGTTCATGTCACTCTGTTGTGAAAATATGGGAAAAATAAAAGTGTTTGACAAAAACACTTACTGGGGGTGCTAGAAACTTGTAAAGACAGGATCCCCTCAGAGCCAAAAATATTGGAGAGTATGCACAGTCTTGAAGGGAGTCCTGTTCCCGTACTTCACACCAGCCCATGTAGACTATCTGTAGGGAAATTGAATATAATTACTGACAATAAAGTCTCATATCAGATATATTATGTTTATTTTTCATATCTTGTAATATCTTAACTCTAATAAATTTATCACATTAATTGAAGCAAAAGCACATTAACTAATTTTAGCTTCAATACATATATTTGAGCCACTCATAATAATTTATAATCTGGATCCACTTCTGGCCAAGATAGAGGCATAGGTAGACATACTGTGCATCTTCGCACAAACAAAAGAAGGACATCAAATTTAAAAAACAAAAAAACACAGAACTGACAGAAAATTGAACTGTAGGGAAGACAGACAACCGAGGAGTTAAAGAAGAAACATTCATCCAGATTGGTATGTGGGGCGGAGACTGGTAGCCAGGGAAGAACACTTAAGGCAAGGCGGTGGCTGGAGGATCTGGCGGGATAAGGCATCAGCCGGCAGATTAGGCAAGGTCAAGTTAAAGGAGCTAATCATCATGAAGCCCTTATTATATGAAATGTTAAAGGGACTTATCTAAGAAAAAGAAGATAATCAAAATTACGAATAGTAAAATGACAACAATCTCACAACTGTCAACAACTGAGCCTAAAAAAAATGCAAAAACAAAACAAACTAAGCAACCTACTAGAACAGGAACAGAATCACAGAAATGGAGATCACATGGAGGGTTATTAGCTGGGGAGGTGGAGGAGTAGAAAAGGGGAGAAGGTACAAGGAATAAGTAGCATAAATGATAGGTAGAAAATAGACAGGGGGAGTTTAAGAATAATCTAGGAAATGTAGAAGCCAAAGAACTTATATTTACAACCCATACACGTGAACTAAATGGTGGAATGCATGTCCGAAATAGTCTGCAGGGTGAAGGGGAATAAAGGAGGGGAAATGGGAGGACTATAATAGCATAATCAATAAAATATATTTAAAAAAATCTGTGTTCATCCTATGAAGAAAATTTTAGAAAGCAAGGAATTTTCCTTTAAATGACACTAATGTAAACATATGTAAAGCTTTAGATAGTTTTAATATTAAAATATTGGCAAAACAAAAAAAACAAACAAAATAATAATAATAATTTATAATCTGTTTCCAACAGCACTTATCTAGTGTTTATTTGTTTTTGCAATTCAACTTGACATGAACTGTGTCTCCCACTTTGTACCCTTTATAGTAAGAAAATATTGTTATAGAATTGAATGACTTACACCACCTATTTTCCTATTTTCCCACCTATTATAGTGAAATGTTATTATCTGGGAATGTGATACCAGGATAAAATATTCAAATGGGTAAGGAGATAAGTCAAAGAGAGATACTTGATGATATTACAAGTGTGGTATACTACATCTCCCCTGTGCCTCTCTTGGTTTAGTCACCAAGATGTAAATGAGTCAAGTTTGTTCAAGTGTTATTCATATATCAAATGACAGTGAAAACTCTTTTCCTTCTAGCTCTTAAATTTACATGGATCAATTTCCAAAAAAAATTATACAGTTACTCATCTTCCCATCAGTTGTTTGCTGTGAAGGTCAAACATGTACACAAACATTTATTAAATGAGTATTACATGCTTAAAATGTATTATGTCATTTCTCTTATCTCTTACCTCAGTCTATGTGGTAGAGACACCTGGGAGAATATATTTTCCACCACATATTTGCAGAAAGTACAGTTAGACTGATAACTGAATTCTCAACAGAAACAATACAATGCAAAATATTGTGGAACATAAACATCAAGGTATGAAATAATAACTGCCATCCCAGAGCCCCATCCAGAGCAAAATTCTCTTTTAAGTTGAAGATGAAAATTTATACTTCTGTAACATGTTGATTTAGCATTAAAAAATATGCACTAAAGAAAAAATCAAATGCTTCAGAGAGAAAAGGTAGACAAAGGTTTGAAAATATTTGTGTAAATTTATTAATAATTTTAGCATGACACAATCATTAAAATTCAGTAGGACACAGTTTTAGTTAAGATATATAAGGTCCTGCACTGTATGGGAAAATTATGTAATATTTAACATTATGATTTAGTAGTCTACATTTTGTAATATCTAAAGAACTATTTCAGTGGCAATGATAATCCCTAAAGTAATCTCTTTGCCAAAGTGTATAAGAAAATAAGCAGCAGTTCTGAACCTTTGGAATTGCATTCTCGAATACCTTGGTTCTTTTATAATATGGTTATATTTTTAATATTTATCATGTTAGAAAATAAAACTATATATTTAAAAATTATTAGAAGTTGAAGAGAAAGATGACTTAGTGAAAATTATAAAACTTCACAATAAATGGGAAAAACACAAATACTAAACAATACTTATTCAAAAGAAAATGTAAAAGAAATAAAAGGAAACAACTAATAAAACAGTATAATATATAAAAATGTTACAATAAACATATAATATGTATTAAGGTTATAAAATATAACCAAAATATGGTAATAATCATACTATATGTAAATAGAATAATTGTGTTCTATAGGCTTTTTCACTAGCACACATGCACAAACCCTATATTCTGTTTGTATAAGGCACATCTAAGGTAATAGAAAGTTTGTAAAGAAAGAAATGAAAAAATTATACCAAAAAAACTGCAAACAAAAATAAACAGGCCTAGCAATATTAGAAAATGTAGACTTAAGGCAAGAATTATTACTAGAAATAAAGAGGAAACTTTCATAATGATGCAGTGTCAAATCTAAAAAATTCATTGTAATGCTTACATTTCATGTATCTGATAACCTAAATTTAAAAGCTATAAATAACAAAATGTCAGAACAGCAATAAAATAAATGAACAAATTGATAATCATGGAAGGAGGGTTTAGTACAATTCAATAAATACATAATCAAATAAGAGTAAAATATCCACCAAATTGTGCAAATTTTAAACAATATAATTAATAAAATTTGCCTAATTGACTTTTACGACAAGAGACACAGCAAAACCTGAATACACTTTTTTTAAAGTTTACTGGAAACTGAAAGAAATCATTATGTTTTTTGGTGATAAAGGTAGTCTCAAATAAGTTTCATCATATAATAATATGCTATGTCCTAAATATCAATAGAATTAAATTTGAGAGCAATATTTAAAGATAACTATAATACCTATAATACTATAAATAAAATTTGCCTAATTGACTTTTATGACAAGAGACACAGCAAAACCTGAGTACACTTTTTTTAAAGTTTACTGGAAACTGAAAGAAATCATTATGTTTTTTGGTGATAAAGGTAGTCTCAAATAAGTTTCATCATATAATAACATGCTATGTCCTAAATATCAATAAAATTAAATTTGAGAGCAATATTTAAAGATAACTATAATACCTAGCTCCAAATATTTAGAAATTAAGTAATAAATATCCACAGGTCAAAGAAAAATCACAAAGGAAGTTAAAAAAAGGCTTGAATTAAATGACAAGGAAAATTTGTCAGCAAACTTGATTCAGCAATGGTTAGTCTTATAATTTTAATCTATGTGTATGTATTTGAAAATCCTTGAGTCAATAATTTGGGAAATTCAATCAAGTAGTTAGGAAATATCAGGTTGGGCAAAAAGTCCATTTAGTGCTTGGTTGTCTTTAACTTAATTAAAAAAATTGTTATTGCACAGTTCTTATATCAGCATGCATTAAAAAACATCAAAATTGGTAATTTTTTGCAGTTATTTTAATATTGAAGATTGAAGAAGATACACAACATCTTGGGTGTGTTATATAATTTGAAGAATGGTGAAAATGCAGCTGAAATAAAAAAATAGATTTGTACAGAGTATGGAGAAGGTGCTGTGACAGAATGAATGTGTCAAAAGTGGTTTGGGAAGTTTCTTGGTACTATTGACATTTTTGCCAAATAATTCTTTGTGGGGCTGTCTTATGAATTGGAAGATGTTTAACAGCATCCCTGTCCTCTAACCACTAAAAGCCAATAGTGGGAAATAGACAACATACTCAAAATATTCAAATCAATAAAGTAATTGGTGAAAATGAAAAATGTGTCTTTTACTTTAAGGAAAAAAATGAATGAACTTTTTGGCCAATCCAATGTTAAAAGATAAGAGAGAAAGACAAGTTTAGAAAGAAAGAGTGAGAGAGAGAGCTCCAAAAACAAAGCAAAAGAAAAATAAAGTATTAGATGTAGTCATTAATAAAATAGAAATATATAGTGGATATTCATCAAGATCAAAAATATTATTTAATAGATACTTTATAATATGAATGCTCATGTCAGGAGAAGTCAAAGTTACTAATATCCATAATATCAGGGCCTTGGACATTATAATCATTTAAAATATTATAAACAAAATTTTTCAAATTAATTTTAAAATTTTAATGAAATATATTAATTCCTAGAAAAATATCAGGACAGATGCAAGAAGAAATTTTTAAAATGAGCAATCTTGTACTTATTTAAGCAATTTGATCTGTAATTTAAAATATCTCAAAAAGAAAATTTAGTGCTCTCTCTACTTAACAGTTAAGAAAAAATAAACCAAATATTTGTAAAGTCCTCAAAAAAGAGAATAACAGAATGGTCACTCCACATCATTCCGCATGTTTGTGAGGCCAACATGACCTTAAACAACAAACCTGACAGATGAAAAAGGAAATTTACATATCATAATTTTAAATACAAAAGATGTAAATATATCAAATAAATCCAGTGATATTTAAAAGCATCAATATAATTTCCCACATAAGCAGAATGAAGGATTAAAATTGTCTAGCCACTCTGATGTACACCTGAAACTAATAAAAATAATTTTAAGTGAAAACTGCAAATGAACAATAAAAATATTTTAAAAATTAGTAAAATCTCTAAAAATGCAGAAAAACTTTTAATGAAATCCAACAATTATTCATAACAAAGACTCTAAAAATAACAATAAAACTTCTTAATCTAAGTAAAGATATTTATATGAAAACTATGACTGCATCACTTCACTTAATGGTTAATTGTTGAAAGTATCCCCTTAAGATCAGAAACAAC